ATGACAAGGCCCAAGAGAAGGATACTGGCTTAGAAGAGACTCCCTAAACTTATGGTGGGGCTGTGTCCCAAGGGCCCAGAGAGCTGAAAATCACTGACTCGAAGAACCCACCGAATACAGCAATGTTGCACATAGCAATTGCCTCCCGTAAAATCTGATCCCGACTCAGAGCTGCTGCTAGCTAGCACCGGGGAGAGCCTCCAACTGCCTCCAGCCTGTCTGGGAAAATACAAACTCAAAGTACAGTGCCTACTGAACACATACGCTTTCTCAACACTTAAAGTTCCCCTTATACCCCAAGTAGGGGATTCATGGAGATCTCTGGCTCCACCCACATTTGCTGTCAAGTGATGAGAACACTGGGAAATCACTGTAGCCCTGAGAACAGGTGTCCTTGGCTGATCCAGCCATAGGACTGAATGGATCCCAAGTCAGAGACGTGGACTTGGCCTAAGCTCAAAGCAGAGTGGGTCTGTGACAATAACAGCCCAAGAAGCCTGAGCCCACGCCCATGGGAAGGGATTCCAGCTCCCAGTGCCTCAAGGCAGAGAGATTCTGCTGAGTGTATGTTTTCTCTTTGGGAAGGAGAATGGCTTTTTTCTTCTCCGTGGCTCATACCTTCATCTTCTTTCTTTCTGCCAGGCTCCCATATGTTGGGCCCTGCTGCCTTCCTAGATTCACAGGAAGGCTGTGTTTCTGGTCACAAAGGTGTAGGGAAGCCACCAGCCATGAGGGGTGCCTTTCTTTGACCCTGTCCTGCCTTCCAAAGGACACTAAGATAAGGACACATCTGCTCTGTTCCCTGTAACCAAGTACAGACTCAAAAACATCAACTTGTTTGACTCGGCTAAATAATTCATCCACCAGTTTTGTTTGCTGTATTTATTTGAAGTGATTAACAGGAAGTTGCAATTATAGAAGAGAAGTCTAGTGGTCTTACACCTCATTCGGTTTCTTCCAATGTAATACTTTACATAAGCATAGAACATGATCAGAGCCCTGGGCTTTTATACCAGGTTCTTTTCCTTGGATTCACCCCAGAACCCACACAGGTGTGGAGACAGTCATGCTTTGAACACATACTGGCTTCCAGATGGGGATGAGCTGGCATTGACAGGTGGTCAGAGAACACATAACCAGACAAGGGAGGCTGCCGAGTGGCTCGCCAGACATGTGTGCAAAGGCTTGGGTAGAGGGAGCTACTTGCAATATTGCTTGCAATTATGAAAAATGAATGCATCCTAAATGTTCAAGTAACAGAGGGTTGGCTAAGAAAATCAGGTGCACCTGAAGAAAAGAAGACAATGCCAGCTGTTATAACTATATTAGAGGAGAATTTTTGTTATTGAGATAGGATCTCACTTAATAGTCCAGGCTGGCCTGGAAACCATTACATAGCCCAGGCTGGCCTTGAATTTGTTTCTTGGCCTCCCAAAAGAATAATTTTTATCAAGATAAACATGAAGTGGTAATGGTTTATGCCCTGAAATGTTAATACTGGCTTATAAAAATTTTTAGACAATGCTGTGTGTGTGTGTGTGTGTGTGTGTGTGTGTGTGTGTGTGTATAGATGGACAGATGGATGAGTGGACAGAGCTCTCTCTTCTCCATCACCCCATCGGCTGACCATCCCTTTATCTGCAGGCTTAGCTGTCTCCTCCTCCAGGAAGACTTTTCTGAGTGCCCTACCCCTCAATGTACTCCACAGTAACCTCAGTTACACATCTTGACTATGTGTATCTTCCTGGTCTCCAGGTTATCGCTGTCTGCCGGTTTCTTCTGTAAGTTCAAGAAATGTAAAGAAAAGATCAATATTGGGTCAACTCTTGTTTCCAGTGGACCCTCTCTGTATGTAGCACAGGGCGTGGTGCCAAGGGCTGAGAAGCTAATGTTATGAAAGGTGAGAAGGGCGCCTCTTCAACTAGCTGTCTGGCGACTGGCCTCTGAGTAGGAAGGGAGGGGCGCACCTGCCTCCCCACTCCCTGCTAAAAGATGAAGTTTCTTTGGCCCCGGGTTCATCTGTGCCCCTGCCCATCACTTAAGTTCTTTCACTGCTCCCAGTCACAGTCACAAGGGGACCAGAGAGGGACGGTGACTCAGCCCAATTCATCACCACAATGGAAAAACCCAGTCACCTGCCCTCCTGGCAGCAGGCAGCAAGCCACACTGCTTTGAAGGTCCTTTTGTCTTTCACCTGCTGGAAAAAAAGAATCAAGATTAGAACACATGAGGGGGCACCACTGGCTGTGATGCTTGGCTTGGGCTCACACTACAGTGCCAGTCTCAGGAACTGGGGACACCGTGTTATTCAGCACCAGGATTCAAGTTAGTGTCTGTGTATGTCATCTTCAAACAGTGCTACAAGCCCACTGTTATCTGAAATTGCTTCTGGGCACTTATTTGGCTACCAGCATCCAAGGTGGGCGTATGAGGCAGAACCACTTCCCTCGCAGCTTTATTGAGAGCCTGACCTGGGCTCCCCCAACCAGATGTGCTCTGGGCTCCGAATTAGAAACTAAAACACACAGCCTCCATCCTCCTGGTGAGGATGGAGGCAGTGGCTGCAGCATTCACTCTGTTTCTGCGGCTGTCCAGAGCTTTCAAAATGTGAACAAATGTAGGGCGACTCCTGCCAGACTATGTGCTGGGCTTGGAAGGCTGAAAGACACTCAGCTTCAGAAGCGTGATGACTCCAAGGACGAGCTGCTTGAGGCCAGAACCGTGGGAAAATGAAACAGGAGTCTCTGGACTTTCTTTCTGTAGGCGTTCTGATGGCTAGGGTTCCAAGCCACTGCATGATAACAATGTCACCAGTATTGTGCATATACTGGGTGAGAACACCAAGATTCAGTAGCTCTCCATCTCGATGCCATTATTGCTATCTCTGATTGGAAAAATCCATGTAGACACTTGTGGGCACAAAGCTTGCAAATGTCAAGTAATGGAATGTCAGGTGGTAGGCATTTTATCCTGTTCTGAAATTACTGAGAAGGGCAGAAGTTGGAAAGTGTGATTCTGTGAGGCAGCAATAACAATGTCATCATCAACAACAATAGCAACCACTCACTGGACACTAAAACCATGTTTTTCACAGTCTATCATTTAATTTGAGGTGGTATGTACATGTGAGTACAAGTGTATGCATGTTTGCACTTGTGGGGGTGCACATGTGTGCATGTCCCTGCTTGCCTAATGTTGACAAGGGATGTCTCCACTTCCTTTCCTGAGGCAGTCTCTCTTAGTGAACTTATAGCTCATCATCCAGCAGGCCCCATGGATGCCGTCTTTGCCTCCTGAGTGCTGCAGTTACAGATGGCTATGAAGGGACTCTGGCCAGCTTGAGCAGGGCAATCATGGCTCCGGCAGGCCTTGCCCTTCTCCCTGATTCCCTCGGCCTTACTAAAAAACTGTTAGATGCATTCCTGAAGCTGGCCACCAAGGTCTGTTCCCTTATTTGGCCAATTCCTTCTCCTGAGGTTGACTGCCAAGGTCCAGCTATTAAAGTATTCAAGTCCAACAACCAAAGCCCCCTTTGGCTCACCTAATTAACATGTGCAATTAAAATTTATCACCTCATTCTAACATGAGGTTTCCCCTTGTACCTTTATAAACTGCCATTTTCCTATACGCCACATGTGTCTCCTCTCTATCCAGAAATACCATGACTGCTTTCCTTTGTTCCCTTCTCCTCTCTAGTCCTCTATCTCCTGTCTTTGTCTCTTTCCCCCCTCTGACTCTCTGGAACAACTTGGTCTTAGGGGTCCTAAGCCAAGACTTTCCCTTTCAGCCAGCATGCCTACCAGGCTTTATGTGGGTTCTGGGGATCTTAATTCTGTTTGCAGGGCAAGTGCTTTACCCTGCATCTTCTCCTCTGTAGACCCTGCCCCATCTTTTAATTCCTACAGGAGTCTTCTGGGGTCAACTCCATCCCAGTCTCACAGTGTGTGAAAAGGCTGGAAGAGAGCCAGAAGTCACGAGGGAGGGAGGGAATGAAAAAATAAATAAGCAAACAAACAAAGTGCATGAAAGTGCGGACCCCTACTTTCACCTACAGAACCCAAGCCCAAGGAAGGAAAAACATTTCAGAGATGGTTCATGCTGTCACCAGACTGCCCCACCCCAACTCCTTTAACAAAGGAAGACACTAAAAGGGAGGGATTTCCCGAACCTGCAGAAACCAAGCTTGCTGCTTTGGTTTCAAGGCTTGACCAAAGCACCACAAGCAGTCATCAAAAATCTCAGCAGTTTCTTCAGCAGGCAGCGGAGTTATGTACTGTCACTTCAGGTGCTGGCCACCTGGAACCAAGGCCAGCGTTCTCAGTAATCCACGCACAGCGCTCTATGCAGGACCCTCTCTGGGAGCCCCCCAGATATGAACAGGGGGCTGGGCGCTGCGGATTGCTTGGGTCTGTGCCAAGCTGTGGGGTCGTCCCTCTGAGCCTCCCGCCCACTCCCACAGTCCGCGGCAGTCCGAGTCCAGCCACCAAGCGGTTTGCGGGATTCGGCCCACGCCCACCCACCCACGTGGGCACGCCCCCGCGGCGCGGCGCCCCGCCCCAGCTCCGGGGTTTGCTTGTGCCGGGAACCTGCACCACTCGTGGGCGGCAGCATCCAGACCCGGCTCCCGCCTGCGCGACCGTGTCGCTCGGCAGCCTGGGTGAGTCGCCGCGCCCTCGCCCCTGTTATCCCCTCTCGGTGCTGCCACACTGCAGCCGCGCACCTTCTTCTGCGGCCACCTCCCGCCCACGCCGAGGGCGACGCCCTGTCTCCCAGCCATCGCCTTGCCTTCTTGGCCCGAGCCCCCCGGAGACCGGGGACACTTGTCCTGCCGCGACGGCCAGGGGCGACAGGCGTCTTTGTTCCTGCGTGGCCCCTCCCGCGGTGCCACACTCCCTTCCTTCGGCGCTCACCCCTGCCAGGTGGCGGCGGGTGCCTTTTGGGTGCGCGGCTGTGCTATTGGTGGATTTTTTTAAACCCTGCTGGAGGGGGCGGCGAGCGCTCCCGGTTGCCGGCTGCTGCTCCCGCCGCTCCCGCTCTCCCGCCGCTCTTCTCTGCGGCTACCGCGCGCCTCGCCCCAGGCGGTCCAGCGCGCTCCTCGGACGCCGAGATGAAGGTGCTGGGACACAGGCTCCAACTGCTGACAGGTACCGCAGCCCGCCGCTCGCCACTGGCGCTTTCCGACTTGGAGCGGGCTCGGGGCGCGGTGACCCGGGTTGGAAGGGGCGATCCCGGGTGCGCGTTCCCAGTAGAGCGAAACCTAAGGTACACCGGGCTCTACTGAGTTCCCGGGCGGAGTCTGGGAGGATAAAGAGCCAGCGCCGTGTCGCGGATCGCGAGAAAGGTCCCCTGCGGTGTCCCGCCAGCGGAGCTCAGATCAGCATCCCAAGAGGAGCTCCGTAGTCTTCCAATCAACTGTCGTTTGTCCCCTGAGAAAGCAGCCCCGAGCCTCCTAGGGAAGCGGGGAGAACCTGTGCAAGGGCCTCTTCTGCATCCCTGTGATGGTCAAACGCACCTCTCTCTCTTTCTCTCTGGAGAGAAGTTTCTTACTGGAAGTAGAGCCAAGTGGCTTGGGATGGTGGAACCGTGAGGTCTGGTGCCATTCGCCACTGTGGAGGAGAAACCAGATGCCCCGCTGAGGGCATCCTGAGGCCAGGGGCTTGAATGTCTAGGAGAAGATAGGTGCCTAGAGATGAGAAAGGGACCAGGTGTCTGAAAGGTAGACACTCCTCACACGGGAAGCCAAGGAGCACTGGAGTACTGGAGGCTTCTGTGTTCCCAGGGTGAAGGTGGACACCTGGGTGGAAGGTGACAGCTCTGTCCACTCCACACTGGATCCGGCCTTTGTTAAGTGCTCAACCCTAGTATACCTGATGAACATGTTCACAGAGATGCCTTCAGGCACTTGGGGTCCTGGTAGAATCAGGACCCTGGCTGTAAGGTGAGGAAGGGGCCACTGCTCTCTGTGTATCTATTCAGGAATAGGGATGAGCTCTGGGGCAGGGAGCAGAGAGGTTGGTGAGATTAGAGCAGGCAGCTGCATTTGAAGACACTGGAAGCAGTACTTTCTGTTCATGGAAAGGAGAGGTCACATTTCAAGCTGAAGAATCAAGAGATGATCTGTGTGTGTACCCTAGGGTGTGAGTGACTTGATCCAGGAGTGGCATAGCACTGGAAGTTCTGTCTGTCTGTGTGTGTGTGTGTGTGTGTGTGTGTGTGTGTGTGTGTTGGGGCTGGTGCTGGTGCTGGATAGAGATACAGGAGGGAAGTAGGCCAGGTGAAGGTTTGGGCTCTGAGTGTGTGTGAGCATGTGTGTGTGTGAGTGTGCATGTGTGTGTGGTAAGGTGTTACAAGAGGAAAGTAGGCCAGAAAAGGGTTTGGGCTTTATGCTAAACCACAGTGGGCTATGCTGGGCTCATAGAGCAGGGCAGGTGGAGTTTTCCTGGAATCTTGGAACCCTAGCTGGGTGTGTTTTGGCACCCACCACCTCCCTTCACCTTTTCTTTTCCTTATGGCAGTCACTGGAGACAGACCTGGCCACCCACCTTGAAGAGAGGTACAGCCTTGTTAACTCAGACTAGAAGGAGGGGCCAGTGGAGCCTGGGATTTAGAGTCCTGCTTAAGAGCAGAACCAGGTCCTCCCATCCCCAGGTGGCCCCCATAGGGAATGGATGATAAATGATGGCACCATGTGCAGCGTGCCCTTAGGTCATCATTGAGCTGTGGCAGGCTTTCTGAACCCCTGGGCGGGTTCTACAGGACTCTGTTACTCTTGTAAGCCCCCAGTGTGCTAGACCCGGCTGTGGCCAGTCATGGTGATACACCTGTGATCTTGTCACCCACATGAGCGTGGTGAATTTAGGGCCAGCCTGGGCTATGTAATGAGTTCTGCAAGCATGAGGGTGGTGAATTTGGGACCAGCCTGGGCTATGTAATGAGTTCTGCAAGCATGAGGGTGGTGAATTTGGGGCCAGCCTGGGCTATGTATTGAGTCCCTTCTTGTTATCCTTCATTCACCTTCCCTTTCTCACCACCACCCCCCAACTCCCTTTTGTCTTCTTCCTGTCTCATAGGTTTGGATTCAAATTCTAGCCGCAGCCAGTAGTGATTTCAGACAGGTTGTTTGACCTCCAGCTTATTGTCTCATCATAAAACTTCCTAAGAGATGTCATGAGGCCTTCTGAGATAGCAGGTGACACATCTGATTGGGACCTCCAGAGTCTATCTGTCCTTTTGTCTACTTCTCTTGATAATGAAGGATTGGGCCTGCCTTGCCTTGTTGGCTAGTAAGGACTTGGGATCTGCCACACACACTCTACATTACCCCTGCCGACAGGCAACAAAGAGTTTTTTTTTTTTTTTTTTTTTTTTTTTTTTAAACTCCTTGGAGTGATGTGTAGGTAACAGGTTGATGGGTTTATTGTAGTAGTGTACAGCAAGTGCTCAGTACTTCTTGGATTGGTCCAAGCTCAAACACCCTGTTCATCAGCTGTGCCTCCAGAATGATTTTGCAGAGGCCTCTGGATCCTTGCCCTTATCCACCCGCAGGAAGTTGATTCTGGTAATTTTTATGGCTTCCATCTTACCACCACATTCACATAGCCGAGAGTAGGTGATGCATAGCCTGCCTCATATGCTCATGACCTCTTTCCTGCTCAGCTGGGGGCCAGACTAAACCATCCCACACTTCATTTGCTCCACTGTGAAGTAGAGTAATGCAGCACCTTCCACAGTTGAATGTGAGCATGCTTCTCAAATGTTGCAGCATCTGGCAGGTGGTCTACCTTGGTCTCTGAGCCTTCTCCACGGTGCCCTGAGGTCTCCTGTGCCCTCTGCAGTCTCCAGGGTATCCTAGTCCCCTCACGGGGTTCTCTGCACAGTAGACCTCTGAGAACCAGGAAACCCCACTCCCTTGCTACAGCCCAGAACTCCAGGGAAGCAGGGTGTGTACTGAGATGGATAAGCTGAAGAGGAAGACTCAGGGTGCCCATTCTAGTCCTCAAAGGCAGTTCTGTGCCTCAGTTTCCCCTCATCAGGCCCACCAACAATCAGGCACTATTTAAATGGATCCTGGAAAACTGTGGGAGACACTTCACGACTATGGTGGTGTGAATGAGAATAGCCCCATAGCCTCATATACTTGAAAACTTGGTCCCCAGCTGGTGGGAGTGGGGTTAGGGAGTGGGAATTCCAGGTCCTCAGATGTGGGACGATGGGCACTCTGCCCCACTGTGTGGAAGAGAGAGAAGCTGGTACCACTCTCACGAAGCACAAGTTGGTAGTGGGGTATCAGTTCTTAACGGTGTGTGATCTGTGTCTTTGCAGTTAAATTTTTAGGAAAAAATGAAGATGAGTGTAGAGGTGTCCATTCAGATATTTTTGTCCTGTCATTATTGGAGAAAGTGGCAAGAGCCAGCATCCCCAGCAATTAAGTTCTGCTTTGTAAAACAGGTGTAATGGTTCACACCTGCCTGTGATCCTAGTACTTAGGAGGATGAGAGGAGATGGTAGGTTTGGGTTAGCATGGGTTACAAGGGCAACAAAATAAATAAAGCTGAACTCTTGCAGATGCAGGAGAGCACTGTGAGGACTGGGGTGCCAAGGAAGCCCCTCCTGCAAACTCGGAGAGAACTCACAGCTGTTCTGAGGGCATGTGGGAGCTGGCCTTCCAAGACCCTGAGGGGAAAAGATACTGCATCCTGGTGAGCAGCCAGACAGCTATGTGAGCCCAGTATGCAGGCTTCTACTTTCAGCCCCATAGCATAAATACACACCTCAGTTCCCTGCTCTGTATCCAGGGTGTACTAGCCAGAAGAATGGCCCCAAGCAGGTATTTGTCCTTAGTCCCTAGAACCCAGAAATGTTAGCATACATACTAAAGGGACCTTGCTGATGAGATTAAGGATTTCATCTGGAGAAAGTTCCTGGATTAGCAGGTGGGCCCTTTGTGCACCTGCTTCCTGCTGTAAGAGGGAGGAAGGAACTGTCCCATTTGGGAAGCAGAGGCCCAGAGCAAGCTGCTCAGCTGTTGGCCAGGTGGTGGGGAAGGCCACCAAAGCAAAGATGTGAGGAGCACTGCCTGGAGGTGGGGAGTGAGTCTGCCTCAGTTCCATCCTCCAGGACTGTGAGGGGGTTAAGTCCAGGTAATGAAGATTCATCATAACAATGCCACCAAGATAATGAAGATTTATCAGACCTGGCACTAGAAGGTGACCTACAGAAGGTGGGCAGGCCCTTCGAGGTTGGGGTCTACAGATGCCTCCCATCAGCCCTGGCTGTGTCCCAATGTGGTCCTGGGCTCAGCTGAGAAAGCCCCATAGGAGCCTGAATTAATTGTGTGCTTTCCCTGCCTGCCACACCCTGATCCCATCAGGTACAGAAGACAGTATACACACACACACACACACACATACACACACATACACATACACACACACCAGCTTCAGATAGCAGAGTGAGTGCTGTGTGCCTATGGGTGTGCCCCATCCAAGGCAGGTGAGACAGAGACCTCTTTCTCCAGAGTATGGAGGTCGTCCCATAGCTGAGAACAGGGTTTGTAGACTTCAGATCATACTCTGTATCCAAAGAGGTCAGGGGAAGGAGAAGCTATAAGGATTCAGGCATTATGCTGCCTGTCACCTGGCAGAATGCATTCAGGGAGTACTCTGGTCAGCCCAGTGTTCCATGAGTACTAGTCTACACACAGGTGTAAGGACCCCTTTAAAAGACAGACCCCACCCACTTATGGCCTCTTTGCTCTCTTTCTGCTCTTACTGTTCTCTCCTCTCTTTCTGCTCCTGTCTCCCTCTTCTGTCTTCTCTGTCTCTGCGTCTCTTTACCTCTTTTCTCTTCCCTTCCCCCTCCCTCCCCTTTCTAATAAAACTTCTCACTCAGGTTCTGTCTGCCTTGCGTGTTTGTCCCCCACCTTGGTTACCCCCTTCCTGCCATGGAATCCGCCATGGTCCCCCAGGCAGGACCCCCTCCATCTTTATCCTAACATTGCAGCAAAAGAACAACAGAAGCTGTGTGCTTCAGATCTGAGCCAGGTGAAGGGATGACAGGGCTGAGGAAGGAAGAATGTGTACTCAGGTCATCAGGAGCTGGCACTTGCAACATTAACGCTGAGAATAGACGAGGCCCACATGTG